TTTCTGCTCTAATCTAGGGGTGGGCCACCTCAATTTATTGTCACAATTTGGGGGTGGGTCACTGTAAACCAGTCTTTAAAAAATCAATTTTCATAGCCCCCCCCCTCTACTTTATGACCGGTCCCTTAGTAAGGGGTAGGCAGCATTGTTGTACATAACATCATGATTATGATTAAGTAAATTTCATTGATTTTCAAGCAAGTCTTCGGTAGCCAAGTGGTTAAGGCACTTGCCTTGTAGGCTTTGCCTTGTACGATCTAGCTCTGAGGATCAAATCCTTGAAGGAATTCTCAAAATATTTCAATACCTGCGGGTGGGGTAAAGGTTCCGATTTTATTGTTTGAAACAAACTGCCGGCAATTTAAATGAACCAATCAAATTAATTGACTGACAAATAGCCAAAGCTCATTGGTTTCCATGATCGAACAAATAATAGTACTACCGTAAGCAATAAACAGGCTAAAATATATGAAAATATGTTGGTATTTATTTAATATAATACATGGCGTGGTTATTGTTCCAACACCAGAACTTTATGTTATTCTTCAAATAGATAAAATTTTACCATTAATTCCTAACCAGTCTAGTGGTTAAGGCACTTGGCTTGCATGCGTTATCGCCCGGATCAAATCCCATACTGGAATTTCAAGTTTATGTGTAAGAGTTCTTTTTCCTGCGAACAAGTGGCCAGAACGGTTAGGATAAGAACCGACTAGGGTTAGAGTGCAGGGCAGATCCATAAAAAAAATTAGTGTCCACAAAAATGTCAATATTCTATGTATGCATGCATAATACTATGTTGGATCAATAGCCATAGAAATCTAAACTTCTGGTATCAGATGAATAAAACTGGCATATAATATATGCAAAATCACAGGAAAACGATCAGTACTTTTCCCAAGAAATACCAGGGGGATGTGGAAATATCAAATATGCTGTGCAGTATTCACTATATAAATATAATTTTGAGTACTTCTGTTACTGTAAACTTTTGCAAAAGATTTAAAGTTTAGTCATTGTATATTAACTTAGTACTCTGCGGTATTAAATTATAATATCCAATATATATTCGTTTATAATACGAAAGAACCCCACATCTACCAAACCGACAGACCGCGAAATGTTTAGAAAGTTGGCGCCTCTTTCGTCATTTTCAAAGAACAAAATCTCAGTTATTGAATTCCCTTGGGACCACTTTCGACCGATTTTCCCCCTCGATTAAACAATGAACACTGTTTAACATTAATATGTACTATGTGGACTCTACTTTACATGAAAATCGACAAAATGTAACTAAACTAGCAGCCAATTTATCCGAGCAAAAATACTTCGTAAATTTATGAAAATTTAAACCGTAAAATAATGAATAAACGCTGCAAAAAATACCTCTGTACTTACCTTGAAATTAAAAAGGATATCTTATGCAAAAAATAGCGTGGTTTCTGGCAGAAAAAGGGTAAAAAATAAGCTCAAATGTTTGCCAAAAGTTGAGCAAAATTTTGGAAATTGGTCGACAAAAACGCTTTCTCCACGCGGGCAGATGTGGGCGAAATAGAATCGGGGGGGGGGGGGGGGGTTTCCTTTTCAATGATTTATAAATTTTCCTCCCAAGTTCAAATAATTTTTCATTTTTTTATTTTCAAACAAAAAATAACACAACGAAAAGAAATTTTCTCTCAAATTTAGAAAAAGAAATTGAGAAAATATTTTAAAAATTGGGATGAAATTATGAAAGTCACGAAACAATTTCGGAAAAATTATTTTTTCCCAAGAAAATATTCTTTCAAGTGGAAACACAAAACCGGTTCCCAAACATTCCAAACTTGTTTTGTTCGGAAATTGTCGTGGCTCACGATGACTTGGCGAAAAATTCCGGCAAGTGACGAAGGTTGTGTTTTGATGTTTGCTTTTGTACACTGGTATCAATTTTAATTTGAAGAAAAGTTTTAGAATTTTACAGTGTTCGTTGAATTTATGTAGTTTATAAAGTACTAGATGATTGTTTAAACACACTTTGTTGCCTGCTGTGGATTCTCTTTCGACAAAATGCCGTCAATGGAAGGTAGTATACAGAATTCATACATAATAGTCATATTAGTCTCATAGATGACAAAAATGCACTTTTGATATGTGAAAATATTTTAAATATTTGCAACAATTTCTAGACTTGCTTCGTCATGAAAAAGAGGCAAAATTTCATGACTGATCATCAATAGTATCTATTGTAACTTACTACTTGTAACTGTCAGAACTATTACATATAAAGTTCTATTTATAGAAATTATGTAATATATTTGTAATCATGCAATATGAGGTAATGTGCATAATGTAATACTATGTGATGTGTGTCAAGATTTCAATATGATCAGCCAATCACATCTTGTGAAATGGCCATTCTGTAAGACATCCACATCTCGTGAAATGAGGTTCCAAATAACTCTTTTGATAAGTATGTTATAAATACTTCCATGGCCCGGTCGCCTGGAGCCTCGCTCTCGTGAAGCAAAACAAAAGGCAATTTGCTAATGATGCATGAGAATGAGACTCCTGTGCTAGGGGGTGACATGTGACTTATTACTTATCGAAAGGGTGTAGTGAAATAAATATTAATTATAAAAATTGCATGATAATTGGTATCCGGATAATATTTTGTTTGTGGAAACACCACGTAAATTTATTACTGCAAAGCTTTCAATTCGTAAGCCTGGATCTTCATCAGTGCTAATAATATGATAAGGCATAAAAAAAAATACCTGTTCCGGTTCCCTACCGACCCTATTTTTTTCTAAGTACTGACCCTATTATTTTTTCAACGCGATTGACCGTGCGACCCTATTTTCTCTGGGTGGTTGCGGACTGCTGCCAAAATGGCGTCTGTTGTCACACTAATTATTGAAAAAACATGAAAAAATATTTTAAAAAAAATTATTTCCGACCTACCGGCCCTAATTTTTTCGCGATATGAAACCGGAACCACAGGTATTTTTTTTACACCTAATAAAGTAATAAATGATAATTGCAGTAATAAATTTACGTGGTGTTTCTGTGCAAACAAAAATATTAATTGTTTTATCGCCATGCAAACCTACAAAGAACTGACTAATTTTTACCTTGTTGATAGACAATCGGAATCAGTAGAATTATCTGTATTTCCAATATCATGTTACATTAGAAATTATCACTAAAAAGCTAGATATGAATGACGTTGAGTGACCTTTAATTGGCTGACTGACAGTCTGACATTAGGATGTCATTATAAAATGGGTATCATGGCGAAGCTAATTGAAGCCCCGTTTACACTACGCTAAATTTTTAGTACGGCACGGATAAAATTGTTACCCGTACCACTTTTTTGGTTTTTGGACTACCTATTTAGCTAAGCCCCGTTTACACTACGCTCAAATTTTTTTTTTTACCTTACCACTTTTTGGTTCTTGGACTACCTAAATAGGTAGTCCAAGAACCAAAAAAGTGGTACGGGTACCAATTTTATCCGCGCCGTACCAAAAGTTGAGCGTAGTGTAAACGGGGCTTAAAACCTTCAAATGCTCATTCTTACAAACGTTGAGGATTTGTAAATTTAAAGCAAATACTAAAAGATTTTATTTTACTTTTATCTAGATACAATCTTCCAACTAAAGGTAAAATATTCTTGTAACAATCATAGAAATCACTCAATCAATTTTGCCATGCTTGTCGGCACTGCTAAAATATTCTGTTTTTTCACCGATATCGTAGTTCACCACAAAGCAACTTGAACGTTTTTCAAAGAAAGCAGAGAAAGAAGAGAAAGTTCAACAGGGAAAGATAAAGAAGGCGTTGCAACAAAAGAATGTTGAAGGAGCGAGGATTTACGCTGAGAATGCAATCAGAAAGAAAAATGAATCCCTCAATTATCTACGTCTTGCTTCACGAGTTGATGCTGTTGCATCCAAAGTTCAAACTGCTATGCAGATGAAACAGGTACATTGATCTTCTGCATTATTTTTTTTTGCTTTTAGTTTACTTGAATTTCTTATTGGTAAATATCTTTGTTATATTTTCGTATGTAGGTGACAAAGAACATGTCGGGAGTTGTTAAAGGTTTAGATAAAGCTGTGCAGTCCATGGAGCTACAAAAGGTATGAGAGCTTCAAGCCGTCAAAATCTGGCCATGGTTTCAATTAGCTATCTTGCAGTATTATAACGGTCAGCGAATCTCTATTTGCCAAATGGAATAAACATACACTAAATGGCTGTTTTGGCACAGACATTTCGACTGATCAATATAATATGCAGTACGTCATGTTCGTTCAAATGAAAGCAAGAGAAGTACCGTAACACAAAGTATTTTTATCACAAGTTTATGGCAGCAGACATGCAGAAAATTAGAAAAAATAGCTGTGAGACCAAGAACTTTGCTTCCATCGATTGTTGGGACTGCTTGCCAAAAGTTGATCAGCATGGCTGTCAATGCATTAAAATATTGCAAAGCTGGCCGACCATTATTAGCCAGTACGTGTCCGATTTACTGCAGACCCAAGCGAAGTTAGTTATTGCTATAATCCACACTGCGACATGTATCATGTAGTTCAATCATGTTTTAATGCAGTCCACAAGACAATAAGAGTAAAGATTTTTAATCCATATTTTCATTTGCATGTTCAATAAAATAATCTAAAATGTTTGTGGAAAATGCATCATTATTATTAATAGATTACAGCAACAATGGAGAAATTTGAATCACTCTTTGAAGATCTTGATGTAAACTCCCAGGTTAGCATTTCATAAACTCATTGTCCAGTTCATAATCTGTTCAAATTTATCTTGAACTGGAACAAATCTCCAGTATTATGTTTCCAATATTATGAAAATATCTATAATTTTAATTAAATTGGTGATTAATACATGTAACAAATTATCAACAGGTTCTTGATACAGCCATGGGTGATGCAACAACAATTTCCACACCATCGAACCAGGTAATTGCTATACACACAATATTGAATTTATTTATTAACTTAAATTACAATCATACAAAAGTACTATAAAATTACAGTATTACAAGACAGTAAACTTTTTGAAAAAACTGAGCAGCATAACATGGTAGAATGAGGCCTAAAAAAATACCAGTGGTACTGGTTCCCGACCGACCCTATTTTTTCTGCCGACCCTATTATTTTTTCAAAGCGATTGACCGTGCGACCCTATTTTCTCCGGGTGGTTGCGGGCTGCTCATACAGCGTGCCAAAATGGCATCTGTTGTCACACTAATTATTGAATAATGAATCCTGTAAATTTCCAACCATCGTCCATGTTAGGTTGACGCTCTGATCCATCAAGTAGCCGAGGAAAGTGGTCTTGAAATGTTGGACCAAATGGAGGCAGTCCAGCCGGGAACGTCCACATTGAGAGATACAGCATCTGGTGAACGATCACAGGCACAAGAAGATCAACTCTCAAAAAGGTTGGTGCAGTAAATTAGACTGCGAGTAGTCCCTCCTTAGAAGGAAAGGAGGGACTGCAGATAAAACATCAAGAAACGAAATACGCCCACTTTTCGCACCGCCCCTTAATAGCTCCAATATAAAAATTTATTAAATAATTATTTTGGCGTTGTAAACAAGTAACTATTTATAGTGTGTATCGTATTGTTTTAAAAGTAAAAATTCAAGTTTACGTGCAGTGAAACGACGACGTTTACTTTAAAATATAAGTATTATTAGTAACATTAAATTATATATTTCGTGTTAAATTGTATTTATTCGTAAAATTGTATATTTGTGTACAGTGGTGGATCCAGCAAAGTTTTTTTGGGGGGGTGCTAACCAATGGCGAAACGAGTGCCGAAGGCGCAAGATTTCTAGGGTGGTCCGGGGGCATACTCCCCCGGAAAATTTTTAAATTTGGGTCTCTGAAATGGCATTTCCAGCATTCTGAGAAAACATTCTGGAAAATTTTTAGATTCTCAAAACATTTAAAAATTCAGAATATTTAATGTTGGCTATTCCGCTATTGTCAACTAGTGATACGCAACTGAATTCCTTAACATAAGTTGGTTAAAATTAGGATAAACGTCATTTTTGCACCCCCCCCCC